TTCAATTTGTGATTTCAGATCTAGGAAACTAAAATCTGGATCAAAGGAATCCAATCTACATAGTCAAAGGTTTTAATTCATAATCAAAGGATTTTCAAATTCAATTTGGACAAATTAGCAAAGATCCAGCCTAAAATCATGTTCGGGCATAATCCAATTCTAAGATTCAAACCTAATTAGTTTTGTTTGATCCCTAAGATTTTTGCTAAGGAGGCCTATAAATTGAACAAAATTCTAGATAACAGGACATGGGTAGATTTGGTATGAAGGACTATGTGTTGAGGTTTTGAAAGTTTCTAGGTTGCAAGAAGCTAGATTTATAGATTCCTAATTTAGTTTAAAGTTTTTGGTCTTTTTGTTTTAGAGTGTTAAAATTGTGATTTTAGGATTTTTGGATTCAATGTTGACATTCTAGAATTTTTTTGAAAAATCTAGAAAAAATCTACAAAAATCTGGGTTTAGGAATGAATTTTTGAATTTTTCGATTAAATTTTTCAATGGAAGTTGAGTTTTTTGGCCAATTTTCTTCTAGTTTTCTAGAAATCGATGAGTAAACCCAGTTTCTGGTGGTGTTTTTAAGTAGGATTCTAGAAAAAAGTAAGAGGAGTTAGGCTAGAGAGAGAGAGAAGACAGCTTTTGAGAAAAAAAAAACAGAAGAAGTTAGCTTTTATAGGGTTACAAAACGACATTGTTTTGGAGAGCTCAGATTTGCACATAACCAAATAAGATCCGTGCTCCACCAGTGGTTTAACCCGACTCAATTGCAGGTTTTTTTTTTCATTTTATTTTTATTTTCTAATTTTATTTTTTTATTTTTTATTTTAAGTTCTTTTATTTCATTTTTATTTCATTTTGCTTTTTTTTACTAAGCAATTTCTTATCTATAAAATATTTTATAAAAATTCTTTTTCTAAAAAACAACAATAAAAATAAAAAACATTTTTTCTAATAAATTCATGAATTCTACCAAACTATTAGAGATTTTTCATGGATTTAAATTTTATAAAATCCACAAAACTATTAAGAAATTCCATAAATAAATTTCAAAAAAAATAAAAAATAATTTTTGTCCCATCAAACTATTAGAGGATTACTTTCTAAATTAAGTTTTACCAAATTATTGGGAGATTTAATGAACTTTCCCAAAAGAATAAAATTTTTATAAATATTTTCAAATAAAATTTCACCAAATTATTGGGGGATCTGTCTCAAAGTAAATCCTATCAAATAATTGGAGGATTTTATTAATTTTTTTGAATAAAATATATTAATAAATTCGATGACGGAGCCTCTTTAAGGTGAGACATTAGTCTCTATTAGTACTCCTGAGATGAGGGAATTATCTTAAATTGTTATCAAACTATTTGGATAATTTTAGGATTAATTTTCAATACTAAATATTTTTATAAAATATAAATATAGTTAAGACATGAATAATTTAAAATCAAACTGGTACCATTATTTGGATGAGTATTGTAGGGGAGTTATAATTTTTTTTCACGTGTAATTGTATTCTTGAACTTAAAATTTGATTTCGTAGGTCAAAATCTATCATTTAAAGATACTTAAATTAATATTAAGATTCTTTTTTAAATGAGATGAATTCAATCATATAAACATAAAATATTAATAACGACTCTTAAAAATCATATCTAACGATAACTTTACGAATTTATAAGTTATAAAAAATAAGACTGACATCCGCCATTCTCAAGACTTGCTTTGATTGACTTCAACAATCCTATCTTATTGCTAATACTCCTTGTCGTTTCTTGGTTCTTTATTCCTGGAGGAAGCCCATATACCTTAATCCATAAGAAGGCATGTGGAAAATTGTACTTATCCGGTCTCATACCTCCATCATAGTTTCAAAATAATATTAGATGTTTATCAAAGCTTCATTGGGATCCTTCCTACACCCTCCTCTTATCTACTATTAAAGAGAATTTAAATAAGAAAAGATTTTCTTCCAGATCTGCTATTTCCACTTCTTCAGCAATCCTTCAAATCAACTTAAAGGTAGACTTCAAAGCTTCTTTATTAAAAGGTCGATTGGTCAGTAACCTTCTCACCATCCAAGCCTCCCTTGGTTTTGAATCATTGCCATCTCAGATCATGGTGATTTCAACACCATCCTTTTCCTCTTCCATCAACCATAAACTCTACCAGAGTTCATCTAACTCCTCCTCTGCATTCATAATAATCCCTTAATAAACTTACTTCGTTTAATTACATTAAATTTCTCAAAGATCACCCTATCAATAAACTTAAGATCTGCTTACTTGTGAAGGACAAGACTCGCTCATTTGTACAAAGCACAAGCTCTCATAAGACTTACTCTCAACACAATTTTCTTAAATAAAATATGTAGGATTAAAAATGTGAAATTATTTTTTGTTTGTTTTTCTCGACATATGAATATAAAACTTATACGAGAGTACACGCTCACACATAAAGTTGGCTCGAACTTTAATTCCTGATTGATTCCAAATAGATTCGTAGATCGAGGTTAAGAATTTTATTGCAATTACCAAAAAACCATATTAATTTAATTATTTAAAACAAATAATGGGCAGTGTTGTCATTTGACCAAAATAAATTACATATTAAAAAGTAAAAAAAACGTAAGAAAAAAAGAGAAAAAATTAAACCGATATTGTGCTCCCAAAAACAAAAATTGCTCTTCTTCCTCCTTTGTGACACCGCTTCAAAAATCCCCAATCTCAACTTCAATAAAGTTGGTGTCGGATTCAAAATTTAGCTCCAGCAAGTCTCATTGTTAACTTCCATTACCTTTTTGCTTTAGTATTTTGAGTCTTGATTGAAAATGTTAATGTTCTAGTTCTATTATGCCTTTCTGTTTTCTTTCCGCTCTAAATTAGTTTTCTCTCTCTCTCTCTCTCTCTCTCTCTCTCTCTATATATATATATATATATATATATATATGTCTTTTGAGAACTATCAAATCATGTTTAATCCTTACGTCATGATTGATCATGTTTATATATAATTGTGATTTAATGATATTATCATCGTGAAGTGTTAACTATTTATAATTTTTTCAAATTGTCAATCCGGTTATCCTTGGATTTTATGTTAACTTCGTGTAGTTCGTAATTTTTAGCTCAATTTGTGATGTGTTTGTTAAAAATCATTTTCTCATGTGGCATTTTTTAAAAAAATTTCTGACTTGATTTATCCTAAAAGGTTTTTATGTTTTTGTGTTTAATTTATTTAACATTTAAAACTGAAAATTTTTAGAAAAATTATTAAATATATTATCAATGTAATATTTTTAATTCCACAATATCTCTTAAGATATATTTAAAAAATAATAAAAAATCAATTTAAAAAGGAAATATGATATATATCACTATATTAATTCTCTTGTTAAATTAAAAAACTTCATTGATAGTATATTAAATAATTTCTTAAATTTTTAGTTGTTGTTTATTTGAAATTTAAATTTGAAACTTGTATTTGTGGTGTAAGTTAAGCTAAATCTCTCTTTTGGTTTTAAATTAATATGGTTGGTATAGGTGACAAATAGGTTGGCTTGATAAAGTTTGAATTACATTATTTTAGGTTGATTTATTTTGAATTTGATAAAGTGGAATTATTTTAAGTTTGGATTATTTTAAGTTTATATTATTTTGAGTTGTATCAATTTAGGTGGAGAATTTGAATTAATTCAAATTTAAATTATTTGAGTTTAAATCATTTTGAGTTTGAATTATTTTGAGTTGATCAATCCAAACAAATCATTTTGGATTCAAATCCTTTTAAATTTGAGTCAATTTGATTTTAAGTTATTTCGATCTTTTTAAATCATTTTAGTTTTTGCTTGATAATTTGAGTTTGACTTCAAACTATTCTTTAAGTAATTTTGAATTTATTAAGTTATTTAGTTTTAATTTGTTACCTTATAAAATAAAAAAATATAATTAATTTATATAAAAATTAAAATATCAAATTTAAATGCATTAAAAATCATTTACTAATAATATGAAATTATGTTACGTTAAATATATAATTAATATTTTTATCATAAAAAAAGAATTAACTTTGCTTATGAGTAATATCATATAAATTTTGGTTGCATCTATTAATTTTTGTAACCTCTTGAGTGTTATAGAATTTGGATTAAAGTTAAAATTTTGTTTTGTTTGTAATTTATAGGGAAGTGGTGAGATTTTTTTTAATTTTAATTGGATGATCTCGTGTGTTATATTTAATTTTATTGACTTATTGTTATTTTTTTGAAGTTTAAGATTTTTTTTTTTTTGAAAGTTGTTATTTATTAATTTAATTTTTATTATATTGTTAGAGTAGAAATATATACAAGAAAAAGATTTTTAATTTTTTTAAGAGAAATAATATCAAAGAAAAAGATTGAAAAGATAATTTAAATTTATTAAATTTTAATAAATTAATAATTTATGTTATATTCATTATTTTTAATTATATTAATATTTTTATACTCAATTTAGTTTTAAATAATTTCATATAAGTATTTGAAATTATTTGAATCATGATCATTTTGAGTTTAAACCGAGTTAAGTTGAGATTAAATTAATTTAAGTTTAAATTATAAATTTTTTTTTGTCAAACCAAGTCTATCAAATTTGGGTTTTGGCGGCACTTAATTTGTTAACACTAATTGTTGACTAATTACAAATTAGTTTTTGTAAGAAATTTATTTTATGGTTTTTTTAAAATGATAGTGAACGTAATTTTTAGTTTATATAATTAAGAAAAATATTTTTGTAATATATGCTTTTCTGTAAACAATTTTATTAACCCTAACATTATAACTAGAAAGATAAAAAATTAATTTATTTCACCGAGATCCAATCTGATCAAAAGCTATATTATAAAAAACCATTGAACCTAGGCTGCTGTAGCATTCTGACCTCCAAATGAATAGCTACATTACAAAAAAAAATTGAACCTAGGAGCTGAGCTTTTTGACTTCTGTTGCAGTTGGACCATTTAATCAAATTTAATTATTGGTGTTGCCTTGTCAAATTTAATAACATTTGTCTTCTTGTACAAAGTTTCGGAACAGAAGGAAAACAAACAACAAAAAATTGAGCAACGAGAGAAGTAAAACAGTGGCTGAAACAAAATTACCCTCTGGGTTCTTAGCAGTCGGAAGTTTTGCAGTTTCCAGAAGTACAACTAGAACCAAAAGTAAGAAATGGCAACTCAATCACTTTTCCGTGCAAACTCACCTTCCATATCAGCTTCATCAGTCATTTACACCAAAGGTAACATCTCCTTTACCTCTTTGTTACAAAACCCAAGTTGTTAAACATCTTTGTTCATTCTATTTTCTGTCACTGGATCATATGGGTTTCAACGTCAAAATGAAAACATGGTTTCAGCAAAATTATCAAAAGAAATAACATACAAGGTATCCACCTTGTTTGTGGCTGTCACTGTTGAACTTTTGGTAGTAAACAAGTAATCTTGCAACTAGAGGAGCATGAGAGAGATGTGTGGATTTTTTTTTTCAATCTCTACTGTTAGATGGAGCAACATCATATTTTAGAATGAAATGGCCCTGTCAAATTTAAAAGTTTAATTATCTGGATCATCCGACAACAGAACAAAGATTGGAACAATTATTTTATTGTTCTTGTTGTCCACCCCTTTTCCTTTTCTGACAGTTGTTTCTGTACCCATAGTTGCCCTGTTCTAGGAATTTTCTAATTCACAATACCAAGTTGATCTATGTTTGAATTTTGAACTAATATCATATTATAGAAAACTGTTCAAAACTTGGGCAATTAAGCACTCTCAACTGCAGACAACCATGTCCACAATCCAATGGTATGTGCTTCCCCCTCTCGACTTTTTATGTGGTAAACTCAAAATAAGCTACAAGGATATGGTATTTGGTCGGCCAGTTTGATGTAATAATAGGAATTGCAATATCTGCAACCTTTTTTATGCAGTTCTCTTGTTTGCAAGAGCAGCTGTGTCCAAAAGAAATGCCCTCTTCTATCTCATAACGCTTTTGCTACTTAAGATATGAGTTAAGCATGGTGTAAATTTGCTAAGGAAAAGATTTTAAGTTAAATTTCACAGTTATATCATGTTTCATTGTTGATTGCAAAGCTCTTTATGTTGGATCCTTTCACAGTTCCCTATATAGTATGAAACTGCAGTCTTTGGATTTATAATTTCTATAATATAACTGCCATTTCATGCTTAATAGTGTTCTGATATTGCTTTGACCTTATGCTTTTCAACTACCTTCAAACCTTTAGGAGAAGAGAAATGGTTTGGATGTTTTCCACTAAAGAGAAAACAAATGCATGTGAGGCTTTCAAATGGTTATAGAGTAAGAGCAAGGTCAACTACAAATGTTGATTCTAGAGCAACAGAAATTCCTCATCAGTGGTACAATCTGATTGCTGATCTATCTGTAAAACCACCTCCTCCATTGCATCCCAAAACTTTTGAACCAGTCAAACCAGAAGATTTGTCTCCTTTATTTCCTGATGAGTTAATTAAGCAGGAGACTACCAATGAAAGGTTCATAGATATTCCAGAAGAAGTTATCGACATTTACAGACTCTGGCGCCCAACCCCTTTAATCAGGTAAGCTGTTGTCAGAACTAAATGATTTTTTTTCCAAGATATTTGTGCTGTTAGAGAAATCTAATATCATTATTTGAATTTAGAGCGAAGAGGTTGGAGAAGCTTCTGGATACACCTGCAAGAATTTATTACAAGTATGAAGGTGTCAGCCCTGCTGGATCACACAAACCAAACACTGCAGTCCCACAAGTTCACTATAACGCACAACAAGGGATTAGGAATGTTGTGACAGAAACAGGTGCTGGCCAATGGGGTTGTTCACTAGCCTTTGCATGCAGCTTATATGGTCTTGGCTGTGAAGTAAGAATCATTAACATTGCTGGTGGAACTCAATTTTTTGCTTATAGAAAATCAAACAAGATTTAGATCATGTTTGTTTCATGAGATTATGATAGGGCAAGATAATATAATATTATGAATAGGATTAGATTAAATAATATCATCCTATTTTGTGTTTGATTTATGCAAAGATTATGATAAGACAATTTATTTATTTGTCAAAATTATCCTTTCTCAAAATCTATACAATTTAAATTATTGATAAATTTTTAAGTGTATAATTGGACATATAAGTTTAATCCCATAGATTAAAAATAGTCCTCTCTATTTGGGGAGGATTGAATAATCCTATGCCAAGAGGATACTAATCCTCCTTGCAATCCCTATCCCTCCTTAAATATAAATCAAACATGAGATGGGATGATTATCATCCTATCCTATTAATAATCCTATATATCAAATTGGTCACATCAAAGTGGTTAATGCATATGAATCTTACTATTTATTAAATATACAAGTATTAACTGGTTTATACCAAACTTTTTGAATTTTTACATGCTTACTGTCTTGTTTGGTCTTTACCCATTGGAGGCTTTGTGCTACAAGTTGCATAAGTTCTGCAGTTGATTTTCATGTGAATTCATGTTGTAAAGGTAAGGGCTTTCTCATTTGAAATTTTCTACAGGTGTGGCAAGTTCGTGCTTCTTATGATCAGAAACCGTATCGGAAATTGATGATGGAAACATGGGGTGCAAAGGTTCACCCTTCTCCATCTAACATTACCGAGGCAGGCCGTAAAATCCTTCAAACGGATCCATCCAGCCCAGGAAGTTTAGGAATAGCTATTTCAGAAGCTGTAGAGGTTGCAGCTGCTAATGATGATACAAAGTACTGCCTGGGGAGTGTTCTCAACCATGTTTTGCTACACCAAACTGTGATAGGGGAGGAGTGCCTTGGGCAAATGGAGGCCATTGGTGAAACCCCTGACTTGATCATAGGGTGTACTGGTGGTGGGTCCAATTTTGCAGGACTTAGTTTCCCATTTATAAGAGAAAAGCTTGGTGGAAAAATCAACCCTGTTATTAGAGCAGTTGAACCTGCAGCTTGTCCTTCATTAACAAAAGGGGTCTATGCATATGACTTTGGTGATACAGCAGGGATGACTCCATTGATGAAGATGCATACACTAGGGCATGACTTCATTCCAGACCCAATTCATGCTGGTAATTTGTCTATCACTAGCACTGAGATCCTACAGTGGCTGGAAATTAAAAAAAAAAAAAAAGATCTTTTAATGGTCGATCCATATAATTCTTACATTGTTTTCAATGATACATTTTCTGTTCTGTAGGTGGCTTACGTTACCATGGTATGGCACCATTAATCTCACATGTCTACGAATTAGGATTCATGGAAGCAATTTCCATTCCCCAAACTGAGTGCTTTCAAGGTGAAATTCTTTCATCTGAACTTAAACCAGTAACTGACATTTAAATCATTATAAATCATATATGTATGTGCTAGAAGGAACGCCTGAAAATTTGGATCATCAGTAGATTATTTTCTGTTAGAGGAAGCAATGAGATGCAACTTTTGTTTGCAGGTGCAATACAATTTGCTCGATCTGAGGGGATAATTCCAGCTCCTGAGCCAACTCATGCAATAGCTGCCACCATCAGGGAAGCTCTCCGCTGTAGAGAGACCGGGGAACCAAAGGTTATTCTGATGGCAATGTGTGGGCATGGCCATTTTGACTTGACATCATATGAGAAGTATTTGCAGGGAAATATGGTCGACTTGTCATTTGAGGAGGAGAAAATAAAAGGATCATTAGCCAAAATTCCTCAAGTGTTGGCATAAGCTAAAGAAACAATATTTATGTTGAAATATTTAGGATGAATTCCAGAATGATAGAATATTTTTTGTTGAATAACATTATGAATTTGAAAATAATCTCAGAAAAATAATTTGGTTTCTTGGATAGGAGCAGATATTGAGTTCCATGAAATGTGACAGACCCCTTGTGATGTTGATCATATTTTGCCACTAAAATGCGGTTTCTCAGTTATCTTACTGCCAGATTTTTTTCCCATTTTGGATAGAAAAATTCTTTTGTAGCCATTAACAGAGAGAAAATAAAAGGAAAAATTTTTTAAATTAAATTTTAGTTTTTCATAAATAAAAAAATTATTTTCAGATTCTATTTAATATAACGCTAAACTTAAACCTCTGTTGTGCTGGGTGGAGGATTTCTCATCAATTTTTTTTCCTTTTTAATTTATCTATGATTATTTTAATATAAAAATAATAAAAACAATTTTAAATCACAAAAAATGTATTATAAAATATTTTTTTAAAAAAATTAATATTTCATATATTATGATTATATTTTTATTGTTTTTTTTTTTTTGTTATGTCATGGGTGTTGTCTTTTTTTTTTTTAAATTTAAAATGTTACAGGTCCCATGGGATGCTAATCATATTTTGCTACTTAAATGAGGTTTCTCGACTATCTTACTACTAGGTTTTTTTTCCGTTTTGGATAGAAAATTTCTTTTGTAGCCATTAACGGAGAGAAAAATGAAAAAAATTTTCACTTTTTATTGTTGTTCTTGTCATTCCTTTTTTTATAAACTTTTTTATGAAAGTATATTTTAAAAAACAAAGAATGAAAAATTAATAAGAGCGAAAATAAAAAATAGCTTTTCCCTTTTATTTTTTCTTTTCCTTTCTTTTTCTTAAAAATAAAAAATTATCCTAGAGTGTTTCAACTGTCGAGCAATTAACACCAAACTAAGCTCTCCAAGGGCTAATTGCCTGACAATTTAGGAAGCATACTTTTTTATATCACTAAACTGAATATTTTGGCCTTAAGTTTAAAAGACAAAAAAAAAAAAAAAAAAAAAGAAGAAGAAAATTTGGGTACCTAATGTTATTCAATTAGGGCCATTAAGCCCAGAATACTACTAGAATGAAAGGACTATTGTTATATATTTGATTTTGTATAAACTAAAGAAGAAAAAAATTGATTGACCGGTTGGGCTCTCCCATGAATGTGCTTAGGCCTTAGCCTATCTCAGGCCCATAACTGTGGTTCTGGTTGAAATTTGTCTTATTGTTGTTGGATTTACATGAAACTGAGGAAGCACCCTCGGAAAGATGCTGGATTTTTGTAGTGTCATTTACTTAGAGCTTTGGCACCATATGGAGCTTGCCGTCTTCTTGTCTAGCTGTTCGTTAAGGCTTGTTTGAAAGACTTTTTTTTTTTTTTAATACTTAAATTGCCTATAAGTAAAGAGAAATTATCTGTAAATTACCCATAAGTAAAAAGAAATTATCTGTCATTAAAATTTTAAAATTTGACCAACAAGATTTAGAGGATTTGATGCATATCTCCTTTTATTTTTATTTTAAATTAGTAATCGAATATAACATGACAAAGATATGTGAAATTTAAAAACTTTAAGGATTATAATTATCCAAAGAATCAAAAAGAATTAAGTGGGTACAACTACTTTCACTCGCCAAATTGTTATTGCTTCAAATATTTAACTCGGTCAATAGGAATTAGTGTTTAATCATACTTTCCTTTTTTTTTTTATTTTGAGAAAAGATGTTACAAATAATAATTAAGAAACGTAAAACCTTAATTGCCTAAAAAATGGACAAATTAAATAACTAAATCGGAATATGGATCACATATAATATAATTTATCTATAACTCTAATTTAATATATTTTAAAATTAAATTTACAAAAGTAGAACACACGTTTCATAATTTGAAAAATCAAATATGTATTTATCTATAATTCATCAAAAATAAAATTTCTTTTATATTTAATTACTTTTATTTTTTACTTATGAAACCAGTAACAATTAAAGGAGGTCAAAGTTTGAATTTGATTTTCTTTTTTTAATAAAACTTAGTTTCATTAAACAAATATATAACTCTCTTGTAGTACAATATTATAAACCTCATTAGGAAATCCATCCAACCAAATAAGGTTTTCCATTTTAACTATGGCCATCTTTTACAGCCTATGAGTCACCTCATTTGCTTCTTTGTTTGCATGAGAGATTTTTCACTCAGTGAACCTAGATAGCTCCACTTTAGTATCCTCCACTAAGTTTCCTACTAGAGATAGATTTGGTCTCACGTTTTGTTTAAATTGTGAAGTTACCATAAGTGCATCACCCTCTATGATTATCTTATGCATTCCCAAGTTTTTTGCAAACTTTGCTACTTTGGCCAACGCCATGCTTTCAATGACTTCTAGGTCTTTGATGCTATTTAGGCTCATACAAAAAGCTCCTTTTACCATGCCCAAATGGTTTCTTGTGACAGCTCTAATTCTTGCTCTATTCTCTTTTTTTTCAAGGGCTTTATCAAAATTAAATTTCAACCATCATTCCATAGGTGCTTTCATTTATCTACTATTCTTCCCACTCTTGCCTTCTCTTTTTTTTTGAGCTCTACTATACTTTAGCAAGAACTGGTGTACAAACATCAACATGGCCTAGGCTGTTCTGATTATATTACTTTTGAGTTCATCATTCCTAGCCCTTCATAATGCTTAGCACATCATTGCAAATCTGTCTAGCTCATCCTCATTTAGTTCGTTTGTTGCTCAAGCCAGCCATTGTCTGACATCTCTTATCTGCCTATCTTGTTAGTCTTCATTTGGGTATGCAAGCCTCCAACTTTCCTTAGCACATATACAATCCCTTAAAGCATGCATTGTTGTCTCGTTTTCCTCATTGTATCTTGAACACCGCACATTTTCTATAATTCTTTTCCTCTGTAATGTTCCACATACTAGCAATATATCATTCCATATAAAGATTCTAATCTTGTTAGGTATTGATAGTAGCTAGACCCACTTCCAGAACAGATTCATATCGCTATTGCTTATGCCTCCATTATCCTCTTCCCTTTGGCCTATATTCATTTATTTTGAGACCAGTCTATGATATCCATTCTTTATAGAGTAAACTCCATTTTTGGTGTAGTGCCAAATCAAAACATCCCGTTGACTACTCAAGCTAATGGGGATAGCTCTAATCTTTTTTGCCGTATCCTCATGGAACATATTATCCAACTTTCCATCGTTCCATTATACCCCATTTGCATGGAACAAATCCTTCACCATTCCATCGCCTGGTATACCGTCTGTTTGAGGAGTGTGATTAAAGTTGCACACTGTTGGGATCCACTTATCATGCCAAATCCTGATTTTTTCCCCATTTCCCACACGCCACCTTAAGCCAAGATTTAGGATAACAATTCTTTACCAAATTCTTTTCTAAGTATATGAAGGTGCTCTCCTTAATTCTGCATTAAGAAAATTAAATACCTAGCTTTTAGCACCTTGTGAACAAGCAAAAAAAGATTCTGCATAAGTTTCCATCCTTGTTTCGTAATAAAGGCCTTGTTGTACAAACTCATGTCTCTAAAGCCTATTCCACCCTCTTCCTTCCTTGTACATAGTTTTCTTCAACTCATCCAATGGACTCCCCTTTTTTCCCATGGAGTGCTACCACAAAAACCTATTAATAATCATGTTGCTCTCATGGTATAGGCTCTTTGGGAACAAAAAACAAGACATAGCATATGCGAACATAAATTATATAACTGCTTTAATAAACATTTCTTTTCCTCCAGTTAATAGCCATATGTGACTCTAATGTTTTATTTTCCTATTCATTTTCTCTAAAATCTCCATGAAAGCCCTTTTTTTCTTTTTGCCAATGAACATAGGCAGCCCTAGATACCTCTCCGGATTAGAAATGGATTGGATCCTAAGCAAACTCTTTGTCATTTTGATGGCATCTTCACTTGTATTTGAGCTGAAAAACAATCTTAATTTATCATAATTGATATGTTACCCAAAACCTTTTTCATACACCTTTGGCATGTCTCTCACTATATTGCATTTCCTTTGCTTTGGCTTAAAGAAAAGCAAGTTGTCATATACAAAAAATAAGTGAGTGATTCTTTGTCCTCGAGCAATAGCTCGGACTTCTTGTAATAGGCCTTCCCTTTGGTGACTGGATAAAATGCCGACAATCTTTCTGTACATATTAGGAACAAATAAGGTGAAAGGGGGTCTCCCACATATGAAGAGAGAAATTGTCACTCACAAAACTGTTTATAACCACCCTATAAGAGACAAAGAAATACAACTCATAATCAGGGATTTTCATCTATTACTAAAGCCTAATTTACCCCTAATAGCATCAAGACACTACCATTCCACCTAGTCATATGCTTTGCTCATATCCAATTTAAATGAGACCCAACCATTCTTATCTCTCTTTTTCTGTTTCATAATATCATAACGTATAGATCCGTGAACTTACCGTTAGACTTGAAATGAAAGGGAGTTGTCACAAATCTTTGTTAGTTAGATGTAATTGACCACCTGATTGAAGTTAGTCTGCAAAACAAATGTTAAACTCGAAAATCGATTACGCCTAGAGAAAATTGTAGCATTTCCACAACGCTCATCCAATGATGATACCAGTTTCGATTTTAAATTATCCAAAACTTGAATTATTACTTTTATTACATAAATAAAACAATAAAACCTCAAAAAAAAAATTATATATTTTTCTATTATTTTTTTTTAATTTTGAAAACCTTTTTTATGAAGATTTTTTTTGAAAAGATTTTTTCAAATACTCTTAAGCTTCAAGATCTTTACATAGCTAATAACAAAAAATAAGAAGAAAGAAGAAATCAAAATTAGAAGAACAACCTTCGTGGAAATGACCTGGAGGGGAAGGTTGAAGAGGTACGACAGAATCTTCAATATCATATTCAGCATAATTGAAGGCCTGCACGTTAACCAGATCAATAGAGACCTGATCTGTCGAAATAGCAAAACCAAACTCACCAAGCTTCCAAACTTCACTTGATGTAATCAGGACATTCTCAAGTGATATAGTCAGCTGAATAAGATGTGCATTGTTATGAAGAAAATCCAAGGATTCTGTAATCTGAAGCAACCCATGCTTCAAATTCATTTCCATCTTTACAAGGTCTTTAGGA